AGTGCTCGCCGGAGAAAAAAACAGCTGATGAAGAGCCTAACCCCGGGAACATAAGGCTTGATCTCTGGTGGAGCCCATTCATCGGGAACTTTCAGGAATTTCTCAATGTCATCAAACATGTTAACAGCAAATATATGCGACCTATCTAACTTGTATCCATGTCTTCTCCTTACTCGGCTTAGCTTCCTAAAGCAGAAAAACATAGCAACATGACACTGGTTAACATCTTCCACAATTCAGTTACAAGTCTCACACATTGTCTAAAGAACTGAGATATATTGTAGCTGCTAAGGAGAGAAAAATTTGAGTACCTGAGGAGTATTATACTCGATGAAGCAGTACCCAAGGGTTTTCTGAGTCTTAGGATCAACAGGTATCCAGAGACCATCCTCCTTAATAACACCAAGTTGGTTGTAAATTTTCCGAACTACTCCTTCCAACTTCTCAAATTTCTCTTTAGGCACCACAGGAAGATTGTCCACCACCAGTATGTTCCCAAAACCAGTATCAAACTCCAAGGGGTCCTCCTCCATTAAGTCATCATCATCACTGATAATATCCAAATAACATACAAATTCAAAACCAAAGGAAAAACTACAAAACCCATTTTCATGGTATATGAACCAAAGAGAATTTAAACTCTATAAACCCTTACTTTATTGGTATGAACCAAAACCACAATTACGAACCAAAAGAACCTAAACTTCAAACAAAACCACAATTACAAACCAAAAGAGCCTAAACTTCAAACAAATGAAATGAAACCAAGCAGAATCACATAAAAATACATATATAAATTAGGGTATTACCCAGCGTCTGAAAATACAAATGGAGATATCAAATCCCCAATAGAGACGCTAAAAACTATATCTTATCAACATATGAACGAAACTCAAGGAGAATGCAAAAACACATAAAAATCCATATATAAATCAAGGTTTTTTAAATGGTAATGGATCTATAACTCAACATATTCAAGACTCGCTTCAACATATTCAAAATCCAACAACAACAACAACAATCCAGTGAAATAGCACAAGTGAGGTCTGGGGAGGTTAATGAGTACGCAAAACCCAAGAAAACGCTAAAAGTCTAATCTTCACAACATATTAACAAGCCTTGCACACTCAATAGAAGAACATTGACAAAATCCAAACTTCACATCATAGAAAAGAAGCCCAGACATATACATCCATAAAAAATTTAACATATTGAACTGAATATAAACATAAAATAAAACCAACAAACTCAAAAACCCAACAAAACACTAGAAATTTCTAATCTTCAAAGCATATGAACCAAAATACTAAACTCAAACTCAAAAAAAATTAAAAAGACCCAGACTTTATAGCAAAGAAAGGAAACTCATAAGCATTACCACATAAAAAGCGCATATATAAATCATAAAAATGCAGAAACACAAAAAAAGGGAAAGTCAAGATTTAAGACCTGGGTATGCCACAATCTTCACCAGGAGGAAGATGAATTGAGTCAAGATCGATTTGGGAAAGTTCCACACCAATCCTAGCGGCTATGGTTGTGATTTCTCCCATAGACGTAACGTCCACCATGATTGGAACTCTCTTCTCTTTGTTTAGCTTTCTTTCTGTGTTCTATATGGAATGGTGCGTATAAGAGAGAGATAGCCACCTTTGAAGCTGAAAGCAGAAGTGTGAGCTTAGCAATAGAGGCAATGTGCACACATACGAATAATGGAAAGGTAGGGCTTTTCTGTAACTCTTATTGGGGTTACGTTGTTCTTTTTTTTCCCGAGTAAATGGGTCTCTTTAATGGGTCGGTTAGGGAGGACTCTCCCATTGGATCTTTTTTTTAAGAAGTAGTATTTACGAATGTACCTTGCACGTTAATAATGACACGTGATGGTTTAACCATTTAAATCATTTGAAAGTTGAAAAATATTATTATATTAGCATAATACGTGAACTCAAGATAAAAGGACATCATCATAACTTACACAAACGATCAATTTAATCATGTTAGTTAGATAACTATGTATTATAGTTTAACAGTATTTAATTTGATGGTATTTTACCGAACATTTTTTTGTAGATGATTTTTTGTGTGTATGTTTTCTTCTAATGCTTTGGTTGATGTGTCATAACCAAAACTCTTATTGTCGATATTGATATTCCTCTTGAAAGTACAACATATAGTTGTTAGTCCAAGAAAATATATTTGCAATAAATATAGTCCAATATTTAGGATGTTTATCCTTGTGCTTTATTTATTATAATTGCAAAATATAGACATATCGAAAATTATTTTCACACAAATTTAAAAGAATATTCTTTAGTTTCGGAAGACAAAAATTGAATTTAGGGATAATATATATTTAGAAGCACATTGACTAATATCATAATTTTTGCACGTATGACGTTATTGTCAAAACTTCTATATACCATCTATGTGCTATTACATAAGCTATTCAGCTGATCTAAGTTTTTCAGTAGCATGATGGGCATAGTTTTCTTCAAAATCAATCTATACACAATTGAAGATGAATTTCAACTTAGTCTATTACATATACAGTGACACTGACATACATAAGAAAAAATAAAGTTCACAACATGTATGATAGAAGACCATTTGGTATTAAAGTATTTGATTATTCTTCTTCGTAGCAATTGTTGGTATCATATTATACTGAATCAAAAACTAAAACATATATTATTTTTACCATAAAATTTTACGATCGACCTTTTATTTAGTTGATCAACATATTTATTTCTGTTAGCTAAGATAGCTTTTTAATTTCTATCATGCAATTTGCGCAAATTACCTTTTAATCTATTGATAGAAATATTTTTCTTATTAAATGCACTATTATTACAATAGGGATTGATAACTAAGTGTTCTGGAAGAACCAAAACATCTTTTATTAGATGCTCTTCTTCGTTTCTGATACGAAGCAAGAAGTTACTGAATATTGGATATGTTCTTATTTTATATTTCTTGTCAGTTGAATGTTTTTTATTTGAGGCTATAAGTATAATTTTGACAAGCTAGTTTTCAGTCTCTACTTTCGTCGATTTTGTAACTATTGATAGTACTTGATGGAAATCACCCTCCAAGCCATTAGTTTTTCCCCTAGTGATTCACTGGTATTCAGTATATCTCTAGGGCATAAGAACTTTATCCCATATTATCAATTTTGTTTTTCTTATAAATTTAGAACTATTTCTTTGCTTTGATATATTTATGATGGTTATTTAAGTTGTTTGAAGATACATATCAAATCAATTTGTTATTATTGCTAACAGTATCATGCCTCTTGCTTTTACATTTGCAAGTAATGCATGACATAAAAGTATTATTTCTATTCCGTCGGAGGCATCTACAAAGGATAATCCCGTTATAAGAGTCGATTTTTATAATATAGTCTTGAAAACTTGTTCTTGTTCTGTATTTAGCTTTGATTGTGTTTCAACATACACATGTATGGTCATTTGATTCTTTATACTATAATAACATTTTTTACTTTGTGTTTTAATCTTTTTAATCTCTAACGCTCTTTTTATGGAATAAATTTATGTACCCTAAGATTTTTCTAAACTTGAAAAATAATTTTACTCATACGAAAAATTTAAAAAATAATTGAATTGGATTCTTTTGATAAATAATTAATTGAGAGATTTAATTATTTGGTCTTAACACAAAAAATAATTTATTTTATGTTGATTCAGATTCTTAATATTAGTTCATCTCTTGATTTGAAGATTTAATCTTGATTATAAATTTATACACTATAAATTTTCTTCTTTAAAATTAAAAAGATCGATCTAACATTCCACTTGTAGATCTTTATGTGTGCAGAATAGATCACGCTCAATTATGCCTTCTAAAAGACAAAGCGGTCGTTGCAAATATAATCCGGTTTTAAGTCCGGAGTCGAATCCTCACAGAACTAACCTATCTATTACAACCCTTTGGCAATGCTATTATTAACTCAAACAATTTCTAGATGCAAGATTTTTATCAATCAATCTTGGGTTTTTGTTTAACTACTTCAAATGATATTAAAAATAACAATAAACTAAAGCAAATATAATTCAATGGAAAAAGGTCTAGGGTATTGATTTCCCCAATTGCTAGTTTAGGCCTTAACTCTTTTGCTATAATCTCGCTGTAATACTCTATGAGGATTAAGAGCTATGGATTCTCGTAATTATCTCTCGATCAACTACGATAATTTACTAGAGCATTCTCTCGAACTACTTTAGTTGACAATATGTGCAACTCTAAATTATCCCACCAAAGCTTCGTTATCTCTAAACTCACTTTTAAGTTCAAGTAACGAATCTCTTCAATTACCCAAAAGTGGTGTTGTTCAACAATAGTCTAACCTAATATTCTTTCTCAAGCAATACGAGGTAATTAGACACGATTAATTAAGGGCCCATTCAATTAATCACCATACAAAACATAGTTGAACAATCATATCATAAATCCGGCTCGATTATAACAAGTTGAGTCAAAACTTCAACCAACAACTGGTTCCATCAACCCTAGATTAATTGTTTAGCTACTCATAACAAAACAAAACTACAAAGTTGTTCATAATGTTTGATTACAAGGAGTAAAAGGAGTTATAAAAACTCTAATGTTTGGTAGATCTTTACACCCTTGTTCTTCCTCCAACGTAGTCTAAAAACAAGCCTTGAAAACCTTCATAATGATCCCTTGGGCGAGCTGGACCTTCTATAGGCTAAGTGGATTACCCCCGAACTTCCGAATTTACCCCTGAAGTTTAATTTTTCGGAACTGGCTAGCGCGATCGCGCTAGTGACCGCGCATATGCTCTATCATTCTGCCTCGACTTTCTGGGCTAGCACGGTCGCGCTAGTGGCCACGCTAGTCCATGTCTCCATTTCTTCTCTTCTTTCTTTCGCCTTCCCACGTACTCAGCTCCTAAGGGCTTTTCTTGCTTCAATTTAGCTCTGATTACAGTCTTAAGTCCTCATATATGCCACTCACTTCTGCAAAGTGTAAAATTCACAGTTAGAGCCCATTTATCATCATTTAACTATATTAGAACTATGAAACATAATCAAGCTGGGGCGTAAACAAACGCCAAATTACATGAATCTAGCCTATTATCAACACCCCACACTTAATTCATTGCTAGTCCTCGAGCAATCCACCACACTCTATAGAGGTTCCTTCACTAAGCATTTTCCCTTAACGTATCACACCAAGAACAAATCATCAAGGTTACGCCAAGTAGTGAACAATCTTTGCCTCAAAAGTCGACTCTCACGTGCCGTGCAATATTCATACTTACTCAAATTACCCTTTACAAAGGTCAAGACTTGCCTTTCCTTCGTGAATCACATGCCTTCACATCACACAAGAGAGTAGTTCCACAAATATTAACTTCAAGAACAATTAGGAACGTAGATAAATAAAATTCACTCACTCTCACAAGGAACATTCACATGCCACAAAGACGCGCCATATGCTTGCCCGTAGTGTACTACTCTACTAATCGAGTTCACTCAGTCTAAGATCAATTAGGACTTCACTTGGTTGCAATGTAGGCTAAGGGACGGGTAGGATATATTTGGATATAGTAGCTAACCTTCCTAAGCACTTTTAATACAATCACATTAACCTTCAGAACCATACTTATGTCAACCACTTATTCCACCCCATTTTTATTTACAACATCCCACTCCATTAGGTGCAATTGTAACTAACCACCACTTATTGACTACTACATTTGCTCTTTTTTTTTACGTGATGCTTATTCTTTTACTTGTCCAGACACTGCACCTTTCCTCTATTTCATCGGTTCCACTCAAAAACCAAACCGCCACCCCACACTTTTGCATAATTTCAATACCATTCAAGTGCTTATGGGAGCTAAATGGGTTCAAACAGATGTCCATTCAAACAATTGGGTAAGGTTCGCAATATGGTTGACAAGGAAACAAGCTTATAGGCTCAACGAAGTTGATTACGATGTATTACATTTAGGTGGGTTTACTTTATATGTCTGGCTCAACAAAGAATTGCCTATATCATTTTTAAGACTGAATGAAACTACTATTTCGCTTTGCAAACATATGAGGCAAGTTCTAGGCATCAAATGTAAAGCATGGAATACAATATAGCTCACACACATGGCACATGACTCACTCCATATTGGTTTATCAAGACACTCTCGTCTGAGTACTCAAGTCAGTGACAAACATACAATTTAAGGCACTTTAACAAGAATCAACCACTGAGACTAAGCATTACACTCTAGTATCTATTGTGTTAAGGTGTATCAACGCAAAGGGTTTCTCTTCAATTTCAGCTCGTGGTCCATCAATACTAACTAAAAGTAAAAAAAAAACAAAAAAAACTACCTATACCCGGTTCAAGCTAAACTCTTGGAAAAGAATCGTGACCCAACGAAAAACCAAGGGAGAGTTACTACACTACCTAAAGAAAATTTGGTCTTTTCTCTAAACTTACTTCCCTCAAGAAGATTGTCTAAAGAATCCGTCATCAGGAAGATTCTCCATATTCCTTTTTCTTTAGTTGAACATTGACTT